ACGATACCGTTTTCATTTGGCAGTGCAGAAGGCAACATTGATCCTGACAATACCCAAGCCAAACTCACTTCATTAGAAGTGCCGATATCGTTTTCATTTGGCAATGCAGAAAGCACAACTGATTCTGGAAAAACCATTACCCCATACACATTGAACGTTTCAATATCTTCTTCATTTGGCAACGCAGGAAGCAACATTGATCCTGGCAAAACCACTGTCACTCCACCAGAAGATGTATCAAAATCTCCTACATTTGGTAATCCTAAAAGCAACACTGATCCTGGTAAAACCACAGTCCCATTCATCCTACCAGAAGTGTCTTCTTCATTTGGCAATGTAGAAAGCAACATTAATGACCCTAGTAAAGCCACTGTCCAAAATATCTCACCAGAAGTACCGATGTCTCCTTCGTTTGCCAATCCTGAAGGCAGTTCATCAGAAGTGTCGATACTTCCGGAAAGTAACCCAGTCCGGAAAGTTACCGAGTCAGCATCTTTACTTGGCAACACAGGTCTGAGCAATATTGATCCAATGGTCCTCAGCACCGTAAGCACTACATTGGGTACTCCGCCTGTTGAAAGCCAACGGAAAACGGTAGAATCCGTTAAGATAGAGCCATTAACCCCACCTTTTGCTACTAGTACCACTGCCGGCACTTTAGATAAACCAGAGATCCAAGCCCCTGTCCCTAACTTCCCCCTACCTGTTCTCATCGGCTCAGTCTGTGGTTCAGTAGGCGGCACCCTCCTGCTTGTTTCCGTCATTTATGCCGTTTGGTGGAGCAAGAGGGCAGAAAGTGCCCATTCAGGCCCAGCCACAAACGTCGTTTTCACCACACCTACTGTGATGACCAGTGGTCATGATCAGACAGGGCAGGGCCAGTCTCAGGCCATCACTGAATCCAACACTCACACCATAGCAGTTGTAGGGACCAGTGGTCAGGATCACAAAGGGCAGGGCCAGTCGCAGATCATAACTGAATCCAATCCAAACGCCACAGCTGTTGTTGGGGCCAGTGGCAATGGTCAGGCAAGTCAGGTTCAGCCCAGGGATACTATTGAGTCCTTGGATGCTAGAAACCTGCCATGTACCTCAGGGCTGGCTGCCTCCCAGATTCATGTAAGTGTAGAACATACACAAATATCTAATGGTTCAGGTCCAAGCGAACGTGCTCCACCACTTCCCCCACGAGGCAAAGGTGCCAGCAAATGCCTACACGAAAATTCAGCAGAGCGTATGCACAGCAATCAGGCAGATGGCATATATGAGAAGCCAGCAGATGGCATTTATAAAGTGCCAGCAGATAGCTTATATGAGAAGCCAGCAGATGCCATACACAAGAAGCCAGCAGGTGGCCAATATAAGAAGCCAGAAGATGTCATTCGTAAGAAACACTCAGATGAGAGGGCAGCAGATGGTATATATGAGAAGCCAGCAGATGGCATGTATGAGATGCCAGCAGATGCCATACTTAAGAAGCCAGCAGATGGCATATATGAGAAGCCAGCAGATGGCATATATGAGATGCCAGCAGATGCCACATACGAGAAGCCAGCAGATGCACATGCTAATTTGCATTATTATTCCAAAGTCTAATAAAGAATCGAGAATGATGTACATAGGTTTTGTTGTAAATAAGACGAAAAGATACTAATGTTCTCATTCAATTATGATTTATATTGTCTAGTAGCCTCAGTTTTTCTCAGCGTTTTAAATATTATTACTCTTTTGTTATATATGCCGATCCCATTCAGTTATGTACATATTAATCAGTTTATTCATTTGTAATAAGTCCCTGGTTATTATTACTTTTGATTGCAATTCATGCTTCTATTTTGCATGAACTATTTTCTACGTTTTGACCTTGGTGAGCGGGGCTTAAGGATCAGTCTGTTATGCAAAATCTCTGGTAAGAAACAATGTTCTGTGACCAAGGACATTCTACAGAATGTCCTTGCTGTGACATGTTCAGTCCAATGTTTAAGTTCATAAATGTAAGATACATGCACCTGTATATACTATAATAACAACTTGGATGTTTTTATCATTGAAGAATCGTAATTGCCAGAGAAATGAGTTCAGTATTGAATTACAATTATGTAGATTGTATATCAAAAGATTCAGATTCACAACTTTATCTTAGAACAATACTGCATGGCTGGATATCAAAAAGGAAAGAAGCTTCAGCTTGTGTGTATTTGGAATCTTTACATGGTTTCTTTATGTAATTGCTGCAGTAAAGTAAATAAAAAACAGCACAAGCAATACGGATTTGTATTTCATGTAGTGTGTAAAGTTTATCCTTTATTGCACTAGATCCAAGATTACATACTTGGTGTCAACTATCAAAGGTTCCTGTTGCCTTGAAACATGCCGACCTTAGTCAATCCCTAAAAACATGAACTTGTTCGGAAGATCTGGAGTAAACTGCTGGGAAATAGGAAACGTGTGAACACACTGAAGTACTGGTAGTGTGTGTTTGCAGCTCAAATCACACAAATTAACTTACATAGCTGTCAATGGTCAGCTGTTAAAGCTGTGGCCAGGAGCTTTTTGCACAGAGAAAAGTGGAAAACTGGTTCTACCAGTCCCCTTCCCTCCTTCCTTTTCTGCGTACATATACTATTTAAAGTACTGGTAAAGTGACCAATGAAGTAGTATTTGATAGCTTGTAGTCACCTAGCCTCTACCAGGCTTCGAGAGGCAGCTGGAAAATGTAGAAAGAAATCGGCCAAATAGAGAGATAACATGCCGGGGGAGATAATTTCGGGTGCAGCAAAATGTTCTCTCCCAGCAGGCAAACTCCCCCGGCATGTTCTCTCTCTATTTGGCTGATTTCTTTCTACACTTTCCAGCCACCTCCCGAAGCCTGGTAGAGGCTAGTAGTCATCACAAGGCCTACTCATTTCGAGCAGTGTGTTGGGCTCGTTTAAGACTGAGACTAACGCCTGAAGCTCCCCACATACAGAGGGCCACTGACTTAACGTTATAATCTAAAACATGTCCGTCAGCCCTGAAATCAAACACGTGCCTCCCACAGAATCTAATCTGTATGGCCAAGAAGCCGGATTGCCAACTACATGTACAAGCTACATTAACAATCATCAACATGACTGTGGCTTACTTACTCATTAAACTGAAACATGTCCGAGCCCTGAAATCGATCCCATGTCCTGCGGCCCTACAGAATCTAATCTGTATGGTAAAGAAGCAGGATGGCCAACTACCTGAACATGTACATGATTGTTAACATGTACATGCTAACATTAACAACCATGAATATAATTGTGGCTTTAAGTTACTTACTTTGTAAACTTGAAAAAAAAGTAAATGGTTCCACATCATAGGTGCTACTTCTACGAAGGCACCAGGTGCTAGAAGCATCTTACAGATTATGGTATTACCACTATGCCAGTCCTATACATAGTATCATCATATTACAAACTTCATGTGAAATAAAGAATATAGAACATATCATCAATTTCCTATAGGCTAAGAATATAACATTGCACATAACTGCTTCAAAATCCTTGGCTTTAGACTATGAAATGAACAGCAACAGTTTAGAAGGCTATAATGGGAAGCCTTTACAATGAAGCAACTATTATGTAAAATTTTGTATATACAAAGTCTTAACTTTTATATCGTAGCTACCCCAAGAAAATGCTTCAAAATATCTCTAAAAACATCTACAGGAACTTATGTAATCTCTTTGTGCAAAGCAGCTGAATAATTAATTAGTTTCTAGGCTGCTACTTTTAATTTGCTACATGTACATGCAACCATGGTATGATGTGCAGTGGTATAACTAGCATGGTTTGAGCACAGGGGGCCCCCTAAGCTGTGATTTACGTTTCAAGCAGTGAAAGTGGTGGTATTTTCACTGGAGATCCCTGTGATCCTATATAAATCTTTAAAACCAACATTTGGGCTAAGAATGAGGCTGCAACAGAGGGAAAACTTTACCTCACAAAATTTCTCCATGAAAATGCATGACTGTCTCTCATTAGGTTATGAATTTTAAGATTTTCAGATACCCAACTGTGGTACATGGTTGTGTCTTCCATGCCCTTAGCACAGCATGTGGCACAAAAAGTACCTTGTTGTACCATAACCCCGAAGTATATAATTGCTGTGAAAAAATTATCAGAATAACCCAATGTGCCTCACCGCAAAAGATGATACCTTGTTATCATATGCAGCGAGCTGTTATATATATGACCCTAAGTGACTCCTTTTTCTTCAACATGTACATAGGAGATGTTATAATTATAATAAATGACTAGATTCACAGGTTTGCCTTAAAAGACAATTTGGACATGTGCCCACTACCCTTGCCTTCACCATTTTCTCATATTGTGTGCAAAAAGAACAACTTTTAAGCTAATAAAGGGAGGTTTAAACCCGTGAGCGGACCTATCCAACTTCTTGAAAAATGTGCTAATTTGAGCTTAGCAATACTAAAACTATCATTAGGTTTTTCCATGTAACAAACCAAAACCTTGATTGTCATTTTGTTGTATAAAATGAGTTTTACTTTAAATCAGTCATCAAAAAGTTTTGTCTACCTGTGATTGTTTTAACAATAGGATAGATGAAGAAGTTACTAAATGTGTATTTTTTATCATGTTTTGTTTGTAGGGTACAAATACTGGTTGGACAATTTAAAGGATCCAGAATCATGCCTGTATCTACATGTAATTGTGTGCCTGAATGGGTTAGGATCAGGCACGGTTCTGGATAGACCCCACGTATCCAAGAACGTAGATTTGCCCCAGGCATGGTTCTGGACTATCCAGAACCGTACCGAGTATATGGTTAAGGATGGTTCTGGATACAAAAGGAGTGGTCAAATTCTAACCCCGTAGCATCTACAAATTTAAAGTATGCGCAGCCAACAGAGCAAGATAAAGTCTTTGTACTCAATGGGTGCTTTCTTAAAACTGTGACAGTTTAAACTTGCTAAAGCAAGTGCAGTAAGTTATTTACAATTATTCTATTAAAACTATACATATCCCCACAGGTTTTGCGCAGGTGCAGTACGTTCTTCCAACATGCTCCCCTGTAATGGACTCTAAATCACAATGTCTGTACACCATTCATGGTAGGTGGGGACAATGGAGGCCCTTGTTCTGTTCCTTGAGTTGTTCCTTCAGTGGGTACTTGAAATGGTCCTTGAGGAGGTGGTACGTCTGGAGACTTGGGCGGGGTCGTAGGAGGAGAAACGGCCATCTTTAAACCTTGGACTTGAGTCTCAATGTGCCTGCAGAAGAAAAAAAGGAAAATTTTCAAGTTTATGTACTATTATGAACTTTGTCTTTTGCTCTTAACCTTCTCCCTGCTTAAGTTTTGGCATCAAAGTTGTATTGGTTACGGGGTTAGACAGCAGGAAGAAGGTTAACCTGCCAAACCACCACATACTCATCTATATGTACATACACAACATGTATGTAATAGCTCTTGAGCTTTTAGTACCCTCTTAGTATGCTGTAACCTTGAAAGAATGTTAGAGGGTTGTTAGTATTTAACTTTACATGATTGATGATTGTACATAAAACTTTTAAATTACTTTTTGGTATAGTCATCTTCTCCCTCTCCTTCTTCACTTGCTCTAAAAGAACATGGCAAAAGTAACGCAAGTCAGTCGAACGTTTCTGCCTACCAAAATACCTGGTATGTAAGGTATGTCTTTCATCCCCAAGACATTGTTTACAATGCCATGCTAAGTATCATGGAGTAGCCATATTCTTCTTTTGCTGGTCTTCATAATATGTAGTCTAGATGTGAAGCACATACATATACACCAATGGCCAGGTGGTCCTTATGTTAGGGTCGTCACTAGTACAGGTTTGACTGTACATGTATATCCATGGCCAGGTGGTCCTTATGTTAGGGTCGTCACTAGTACAGGTGTGACAGCCTTTTTTGACATGTACAAAGTTCAAATCTCGGGGTTGTGTGGCATAAAAGCAGAGTGCTCGGCTCAGAACCAAAAGGTCCCGAGTTCGAATCCTGCCATGTCAGCAACCCTGTGCCCTAATAGGAAAGGCACTTTACACAACTTTCCTCACTTTGTTCAGGTGTTAATGAGTATGTCAGAATGACCATTATCATGATCATTAACAGAAAAACCAAACCAAAGCAAATCAACTCCTGCATACCTCCAAGACTGAGTAGAGTTGATGACAGTGGCTGTGTGTTCGTCCATCTGTTTCTGTAAGGCACTCATCTCACCTCGCAGGGTCGTCAGGCAGGACTGCAGGATGCTAAGGGGTCTTGGGAAGAGGGAAACAACATGGCTTCCGTGAATGAAAATGATAGTGCAAAAGTTAAAGCTGATGAATATTCAAAGATAAATGACTATCTGTTTGATTTGATTTATTAAACTGTATAAACAGATGATATCAGCCAGGACCTGTAATCTTAATATATGACAGAAATGCCCTATTACAAGGGGAAATAAAACTAACTGAACTGAAAATTAAGTCTTAGAGAATACACAATTTTAGTACAGCAATGGTTATCTAAACACTGGGAACCCAAAATTTCTGAACTCATATTTGCTGGTCAATGAGTAACTGTCATTTTGGTATTTTATTAACTGGATGTCTGATCAACATTCCATAACAATAATGTAAAGTTCAATAATGTAAAGTTATATTTGCTAGAGTAACTGATACATATATTTTGGTATCTTTACATCTACATGTAAATGGTGGCTATCCTTCATCAACATTCCATATTAACAACACTAAGTAATAACATCAGCCAACAGAGAGCAGTGCTATAACTTCTAAGTTGGACCTACTTGCTGTCCTGAGTGAAGGAAGGTGGGTTCAGCAGAGTTTCGTCCACTTTAACGTCCAGACTGACGCCTGCCATGATGGCCTCCAGTGCAGACAGGGCCTTCACCGACGTCTGGTCCTCAGGAGACGTCTTCTCAGCCTCACTTCTCTTGGCAAGACGTGCTTTGATTGTCTTGAAGGGAAAAGAAGTTTAGGGTTAAGAAAACAGTCAAACTGTGCCACCCAGGGGACCAGGGTATAGTGGTTTTCTTGGATCCTCAACTGATATTTTCTTTGTTTCACTTCTCTTGGTAAGACGCACTTTGATTGTCTTCAGGGGAAAAGGGAGTTTAGGGTTAAGAATACATTCAAACTTCCAAAAATAGTTTCATCATGTTGGTAAAGTATAGGATATAGGAGATCTTTCACACAACCAAATTTATTTGCTGACATTTTGGTGTCCATCAGACACCTTCCTCAGAGCTTCCCGGGATTGTGTTGTCGCCGCAAAAGTGCCACCTACATGTACACTGGCTAGTATGGCTAAATATAGCGGCGAGAAGCAGAACTCCAGTCAGAAGCTCCGAGGAAGGTGTCTGATAGTGGTAGACACTGAAACGTCAGCAAGGTAACTTTCTTGGTTGTGTAAAAGAAATCTTTATACAATCAAAACTGCAAAAAGGCCACCAAGGGGGCCAAGGTCAAGTGGTCTTCTTGGACAGGTGACCTTCTTGGACAGGTTGATTAATGCTTGCACCTACACTGTATGGGAAAAGCAATTTGGGACCAGGAAAAGGTGGTTGTTACATGTACAGCCTGATGGTTGAAGAGACCAAGTCTTTGACCTGGCAGGTTTGATTGCGCCTAAGATCCAGCAGAACTTTTAGAATGTGGTATTGATCTAATTTTGACCCTTTCTCAACTCTGTAATATCCATTTTACACTGACCTTCACAGTGTTCTATTCACTCGACCTTGAGTCTTCCTAGTAGGTCATCCATTTGACATTGACCTTCTTCCATACGTCGAGTTATATTTCACTCTCCCTCTACACTTCTGGTAGTTTGCGATAGATCATAGTAAGCAACAGTTTCTATGTGAAAAATTCACATGAATTTGTGACTTTTAATGCAAAGCTTATAATGACACAATTTTAATATGAAGCCTGATACAGCAGAAGCAAATGTACCTGATTTTTTAATCAGTAAGACAGTATTTTAGACTTTTCAACTGGATAAAAATTTAATACCCAAACATTTCAAGTGTTAGTCAAACACTCGTCATCAGTAAAAATTTCACTGACTTCACTGTTTGAATAACGTCTTGAAACGTTTGGCTATTAAATTTTTATCCAGTTCAAAAGTCTAAAATACTATGATCTTACTGATTCTGAAGTTTTCTACCCTGGATGACTAATCTTCACAAACATACCTGATTTTGTTTGAGGGAAGACTTGAGCGCCACTCTCATCTCAGACATCTTAGCTTTATATTAGCAAGACCAACAAAGAAAGAAACAAAGAAAGAAACAAAGAAACAAAAGTACCTGATTCTGTTTGAGAGAATACCTGAGTGCTGCTCTCATCTCAGCTTCATATTTGCAGGACAAACAAACAAACAAACAAACAAACGTACCTGATTTTGTTTGAGGGAAGACTTGAGCGCCGCCCGCATCTCAGACATCTTAGCCTGCATGATGAACTTCTCCTTCCTGGCAGACGACAGCTCAAGTCTTAAGGAGTCCAGGTCCTTCTGAGACACCTACGGTTCAAGGTAAGATACATGTAAGTTGTGTTTAAAAGCCCTGAAGTCAGCACATGAAATATCATAACTTGTAGGGAAAAATGGTATCTAAGAAAGAAATATACACTGTTGTAACTCTAAAAATCACTTGTTTTTAAACAAGCTATGGTGACTGGCAAATTCCCTGGCAAAGGCAAAGTCATCTCTATCTTTACTTGACTCAGGTGAAAGAACGTTAAAGAACCTACCACACTTAATGAAAGGAGCAGGGTTCCTTCCAAGTGTGAGGGGTTGAAACCATACAGTCTGGTCTTACGCAGCTTGTACATACTGTACAAAACTGGTGTTATACTGTACATGTAAAGGCAGTATACCAGTTATGCAAAAGAAACTGTAAAACAAACAGTCAAGAATATATATTCAGGAAATGTCCGTTGTTTCCAGACCTGACACGCTGCCCTCATGTTGTCCATCTCCAGGGCGTGGCGTTTCTCCCTCAGCTGCAGTTTCTCCTTCAGGGCTGCTGCCTCCTTCTCACGTGTGGCCACCTGCCACTGCAGGTTCTACAGGTGGGACAAACAGGTGTTACATTTCACCCCAACTAACACGGTTACAATGTCTAACAGTTTTCAAAATCTATCTACTAACTCGAGTAACTGTTTTCTTGTGTAACACGCTGGGGGAAGTAACACAAGGTACTGCTTGACTGTTTTTGGACGTGTGTTTCTGTGATTTCAGAAACATGCACAAACACACAGACACACCCAAAACAATATTGGTGGAAGTAAGTACTTGAAACAGTGTTCAACACATATCCTGTTGCTTGTGTAAATTAAAGCTTTCTGGTTCTGCTTTTCTCATTTCCTCAATGTCTTAAACCTTCATCGATATAACACTATCTGATAACATATAAAAGATTACATGTATAATTGTAAAAAGCTGATTACCTTGATCTGGTCTGTGATGACGGGCTCCTTGTCGTCCTTGTCGTTCAGCTGTCTCTGCAGCCGCTCCACGTGTCGTCTGGACTCCAGCAACCGTGTGCGCAGCTGACGGGCATCTGTAAACAATCAATCAATCAACCAATCAGTCAATCAATCAATATTGCTTTAAATGCCCAAGAGCCTAGGCAGGCTGGCGTAAGATTGAGAGGTCAAGGGTTCAATTCCTGGCACTCCTGGCTAGACACTGTGTCCATGGGAAAGGCATTTAACATGATTTTCCTCACCCCACCAAGGTGAAAAATGGGTACCTGAATTCGTGAATAAACTGGGTTTCGCACAGGTGCAGTATGTTCTACCAACATGCTTTTTCTACAAACCTTCTGCCTGCTGTGCCTCTGCCTGCCTGGCCTGTGCCAGCTCCTGCTGTAGTCTCTCCACCTCCCCGTCCTTCCCTCGGCAGGTCTGGATGAGCTCCTCCTTCTCCCGAATCACCGTCTGCAGTCTCACCTCAACCCGCTTCATCTCGGAGTGTTTCCCTGCAACCTGGAGAAGAAGATAGCCAGAGAAAAGGAAGTTGAACCTGATTTTAGGGATATCTCTGAAGGTACAATGATTATCATGAAATTGATCTGCACTTCTTAAGGATTGGTAAGACTGAGATTTGTACTTCCTAAGATGTTACCTGTTTCCTGAGGTCCTTGCTGGTTGCCCTCTCCTGTTTCAGCGCTGTCTCCAGTTCCTGCACCCTCTCACTGGCACGCCTGTCCTCCACCTCCTTCACCTCCAGCGCCTGTCTCGCCTGGGCGCTCAGCTCCTTGAGAGACGTCTCCCGCCGTGCCAAGACGGCCTCGAGATGCGAGGCGTGCTGCTTCAGACTCGTGTGGCTCTGGGTCACTCCTGGGAGGATGGAAAATTAGACATGCTTGAAACAGGACCTTGTGAAATTATAGCTTAAACTTTGTAACAACATTCTAAATTCAAAGAAATATGGTTTTTACAATGCTTGTCTGAGGATGGCAATTGGTACATCGACAATTGTAAAAACCATATTTCTTTGAATCGATAGATCCCTGGAGAATAGGTCAGTTCTGTAGAATATGGCACCTGCTCATGGACAAAAATTCTGGACACAGCATACACAATTCTGCAACCATGATCAAATTCTGCAGAATTTTTTGGACAGAATTGTTGGTAAAATTTTTACAGAAATCCTTAATATCAGAGTAGGCTACACAGTTTCTGTCTTTCAATGAAACGTTTTTTAAAGGCAGATGCAGTAGGATCCAGCATAAGCTTCTACTCACGTCCTACACACGGCTTCATACTTATCACTACCTTTTGTGCAAATAAACAAACAAACAAGCAAGCAAATAAATAAACATCTGACCTGCCAGCCTGCCACGTTCCCTCTCCAGCTGCAGCAGGAGTTCCTGGTTTTGTTCCTCCGTTCTGCGCAGTTCTGATGTCTGTTCCCGGGTACTCTGCAGCTCACGCTCCAGCACCACAATACGCTGCCGGTAAGTCTCGATCTCACTGTGGGTGCTCGCCTGGGGAGGGGGGGGAGAGATGTATTGATGCTGCAGTTTGAACTAGAATGGTAATTATTGCAAAGCAAGTGCATGATGTTTACCTCCGCACAGTCTCGCCTAAAACCTTCTTGTGGTCTTAGCATAAACTACTGTTTCAATATTCTTACTCTGGTCAGTACTATTCTTATAGTAAGTATATGGTGACCAGCCCTGTCAACATCAAAGGGTGCCTGCTACAGCACCAGTTACCATGGTGACAAATGTCTGCTCTAGGTCATTGACCTCGTAGAAGAAGAATACGAGCAAAATCAGCATGTTTACCTTTGTAGAAATACATGTAGGCCTTTACATTTAAATTATTTGATGACAGTACTCAGTAGGTTCCATTCTGCAATAGTTTGAAGGAAAAATTAAATGACAAGTCTAGAATGTTTGTGCTCCACACCTGCAGTTGTAGCATCTGTTTCTCGATGCCTTCCTTCCTCTGCCTGGCGAGGTCCAGCTCGTAGTGTGCCTGCTGCAGCTGTGTGTTCAGCTGTCCCTGCTGTTCCACTGTCTCCTGCTCAAACTGTCCCTGCAGCAGACGCAGCTGCTGTTCCACCTGCTCCTTCTCCTGGACAGCATTCTGCAGTTTACTGTGAAATGAAAATAACGTAAACGGTTTTCTCAAACATCGATTGTCATCTTTTCACATATACAAACATGTATCTGTCGTACCACCAGGTCCTAGCTAGCGCCTGGAAGTAGTGTTGAGCAACACCAAAATATAAATATGAAGCGTAAGAATGAAGAAGTTGCACTAAGCACAGAAATCATACTGAACTAGACACCACTTCCAACTAGACAATCTATCAAGTTTGACTATTTTCTCTGCCCTTCTTTGGTTTTCTGTTCAAAAGATGGAACTGCAAAATGATACAGTGCTAGCCTTTCCATCTCCCATCTTCCATGTAACTGTTTGCAATCTGACAGGAAAAATACAAACCAGTAAAACCTTCAAAACAATTATACGAAAGTCCAACCCATACCTGGAGAGTAGGCTGACGGTGTTCTCGTATGAAGTCTGTCGTGCCTGTAGCTCCTGGTGAGCAGTGTTCAGTTCTGTTCCCAGCTTCAGAACCTTCGCCTTCTGCCTGCCCAACTCCTGATGGCTGGAGCTCTGCAGGTCAGCCATCTTCTGCTTCAGGGAGGAGTTTTCCTGGGGTACAATTTTGTTAGTCAAACATGTCAAGACAGTAGCAGAGGAAAAAATGGAGTTATATGGTCATTGTGATCATGATTAAAATCAGTTAGTCCAATAAGTGAGTATTGTACATGTATTATGCAGTTTAATTTATGTGTTCTTGTTTGATGCAGCCTTGTTCTCCTATTTTTGGGGTAACTTTTTCAAGTGGGAACAATGATTTTGGCAGCTTGAAAGTTTGCAAGCACTTAAAATTGCAAAGTACATGTAACACTTATACCAGCTTCATTTGACGATTGTAATTTAATTGTGTACTAAAACACAGTTTTAACAACTGTTACAGTAAAGCTTATCCCCTCTACAATAAGCCTGAGAAAAAACATGTTTTTGAACAAAAATCTAACTTTTCGTACCTGTTCAAGAGTTGACTGGTCTTGTTGTTTGGTCTGCATGTCCCTCAGCTGTTCCTCCAGGTGCGATCTCTCCTGTATGACCCCCTCCAGCTGCAGCTGTAGCTGGGAGAACTGCAGCCGCGTGGAGCTCAGCTCACCTGACAGGGCAGTTTTCTCTTCCCTTACTCTCTCGTAGGACATCTGTGAGAAACACAAAATTTTCTTTATTTACCAATTTGTTTGTTTCTGATATCAGGATACCTGTTTGTTTAATAGAAATTTGTTGGTTTGTACCTGGTAGTAGTTGCAGCTCAGCTCATTTTCTTGTTTTGCCTTTTCCCTGTCTACATGTATCAGTGTTCTTGCCATTAGACTTTTGAGTGTAGATTCCAGGCTGTGATTCTGATCCTTAACACTGAAATGTTGCATCTACACTGTGTTTCAACCACTGCTGGGAGGGGGGCAGTAACTGTTGTTTTTTTCTTGTGAATTCCGTTACCGTCATAATAATACTTGAATTTGACAAAAATGTCTTTGCTCTTGGCACAAGGAACATATCAGAGAATGGAAAACAGCTGTGTAACTAACAACGAAGTGATTACAAATCTGCTGTGAGTTAATTAATGAAACCTGAAAATAGAAGGTGTTAGGGGGGCGTGACACCAAGACTGTCATAAGTGGGTTGCTAAGCTCTGCCTGTATGTACATTCTCATTACTTGAAACAAACACTTATACATGCTTATTATTGACAACACAAACACTTATATCAGAAGCACAGCACCTAGTCCCTGAGATTCCCAATCAATGAAACCTACATGCATGTGTGTAAAGAAATCTAACGCAAACCACAACCTAAATTTTGCGAGATAAAGAAAGGACAAAGAACCAGTCAGGCCACTCCTTTCACTGAAGCGTGTCCACAGTTCCTTGAGGACAGGCTGGGGTAAACAAACCTGTTTCCAGCAATCCCTGTGTCCCAGTGCCGGCCACTTTTACATGCCACTCCGCCAAATGGGTAAAACATTCTCTGTCATGCTTTACTGTTCTTATTCAAAGACATTTAATCCTCTGTGGTGGGTCTTGTGACCATGGAAAACTTTCCATGATACGGGAAGGACTCATTTTAGGGGAACACATTGTCTAAAATGTAGTTATATACTGTACATTATGTACCTTTGATATGATTTGAAGTGCGAAATCTAAGTATTACAGCTTAACTGCATCACGTTATAATATTACTTATAATGTTTCATCTCTTATGATTTAACATGGGTCTGAAGTATTAAAAAAAAAACTTTTCCCCTTCACATAGAATAGACTCTCCCAAAATGACTCAGGTGGCCTCTGTGAGAAGTTGAAATGTGGGACTACCAACTTGATGAACATACAGTTGTAAATACTGAAAAGTAAGTAATACAAAACAGAAGTTTACTTTATCAAGGTTAAGTGCTTTCGTGATGAAGTAGTTGACACAAGACTAAAAATTAAGACCCTAAATCATCCTGCATTGACTTAAAATTATCTGAATATTTTAGGTCAATTTTAGATGAAACTCTAAGTGTATTCTGTTCACCTGCAGTTCCTGCAGCTGCTGCTTGAGGCCGCTCAGTTCTCCCTCCAGCACCACTCTGCTGGCTCGAATCTCTTCCACAAGCTGGTCCTTGCCGGCTGCAGTACTGTTGTACGTCTCCAGATGGTGCTGCTGCTCAGATAACTCCTCCTGCAGGGCTGACAGCTCTGCTTGGAGCTGGGAAACAACAGAAACATTGATGATTGTTACCTGTCTGCTAAATCACACAGAAGTTGAAAACAAAGTTAGTCAGTTAAGTGCAGCCATGACGTGCATGCACTTTTGAAGGACTACCGAGATCTTATTTTCTTGAACAATATGTTTTTTGTTCTACGTACAAAGTAAATGACACGTACAGCCAACTGTACATGCACTGCAACATTAATTGCAACCTACATGTAGAATGTACATCATTATCTGCAAACTACATTAACAACATTAACTGTCCCCCTGCTCCTAGTAGATTAAAAAAAATCCCAAAAATACAACACATAATCAAACCCAGACGGATATATACATGTATAATCATTATCATATTATATACACTATAGTAAAAACTTCAGCTTTTTTACAGCTATTAGCTGTCCAGCATCTAAACTGTGTTAAGAATAATCCTACCTTGTTCTTCTCCTGTAGCACCAGTTCCAGCTGCTCTGTTTTGGTGGCCACCTCCTGTTTCATCTGGCGGAATCTCACATCCACCTTCCCCATGTCCTCCTGTTGGGAAAAAGGTACAGCAGTCATCTTTAACTTAGGTTAAGCATGATGCTTTTTCAAGTACATGTAGTTACTAGTTGCAATGCAGCTTTGCGTGCTACAGCTTGTGTATAGACAACTTACATTTTCATTACGGAAAGAATAATTTTAAACAAAAGCTCTTCTGGCAAAAAAAAAACACAGCCAGAGAATTTACACTCAACAAGCTTAAGCTAGTGTGTTGAAAAACTGCAGCTTTGTGTTAGTTTCAATGTTTGTCATACAATGTCATACAATGTTTTAAGCAAGCATATTACAACGTACAGCAAAGCAACAAATAGGAGACATATCTAAATTCAGTAAGTTACAAAATGTACTAATCCATACCTGTAGCTGCTTGGTTGCAGTGTCAAAGCTTCTTTTCTCCTCCTGTATGGCAGCCATCGCCACTTCCACGGCTGTCTTCTCCTCTCGGAGGGCCTGGATCTCGGTTTCCTTGGATCTCACGTCGCCCTGCGCTGCCTGGAGCCTCATCTCAGCTTCCACAGACTTCCCCTGGAGGGACTCGATAGACTTGTCCCTCTCTGCTAGACACTCCTGAGTCAGGGTTAGTCTCTTTACCAGCTCCCTCTGCTCCCGTTCTAGCACGTTTACTGCAGCGACTTTCCTGCGCAGCTCCTGTTTCGCGTTCTCTAGTTCGTGTTGTAGCTCGCTCACCGTGGACACGATGCTGGAAAGCTGTGCCTTCTCCCCCTGGATAAGAGAGAGAATGAGAGAGACAGAGAGAGCGGGGGGAGAAAGAGAGAGAAGGAGAGAGAAAGAGAGAGAGAGAGAGGAGAGAGAGGAGGGG